CTATAACCTGGGTACAGTTCCTGACGCCTAGGGGAGACAAAGATCAAGGCCTGTCTTTAGGGAATCTGCATTCACGTGTGTGTGTGACAAATTGTCACTTCAGGTAGTGGGTGATAACGTGTGCGACTAAAAATTCCGTTGTGATAAAGAGAAAACGAGCGGGACATTGCTGTTTCATAGGGGTTTGTCGGGCAGGTTAATGTTGACATGGTTGAAGATAAAGATAAGAGGTTCTAGAATCTGAGAAACACGGACAAAAGGCTGAGGAACAGAGCGCGTTTCACCATGCAACAGGACTGGACCACGGAGTAAGTCAAAAACTTTTCTTTGCGAAAAGCTCACCTACTTGCCTTCTGTTTCTCATAGCACCTGTGCCCAGGTGCAGTGTTTCTTTTCAGTCAGTTCCAGCCATTCTCCGACGGTTTAGACCAATCAGATGAAGGGAGGCGTGGCCAACCTACCTGAAGCGAGAGCGCTGACCTTTTGCGCATGCTCAAGATCTCCAGCGGCGAGCGCGCCCAGGGGCCGTTTTGCGCATGTGCGAGTGCGAGAGGAAGAATTTTGTCCCAAGCCTCTGCCGTACCGTCCAGGCGGCGAGTTGCGTCCTGGCTCTGTCGTGTGGCCGGCGTGCAGGGTTGTGTGCCCGCTTACTGCCGCTGCCGCCGTCATGAACCGCGAGAATTTCGCGGCGGGCGAGCGGCTGGTGTCGCCGGCTTACGTGCGCCAGGGCTGCGAGGCTCGCCGCTCGCACGAGCACCTCATCCGGCTGCTCCTGGAGAAGGTACGGAGCTGTCGGCCCTCCCCGGTCGCCGCGCCCCCAGGGGCTGGCTCCGCCCAGCGGCCCCCCCCAGAGTCTGTGGCTGCTTGGCTTGTGCTCTCCTGACTTGCTGCTCTCAACTCCCTTATAGCCTCGCGGAACTAGCAAAAGCCAGAGTGTTTTTAGGGGGTCGGGAGTTTGATTTCCACTCCCCCCCTCAACTTCTTAGAGATATAAATTGGGGAAGCCCCAAGACAGTTTACTTTTTTGCGGGAAGGGCAAAGTTCGCTCGTTCCACCTTTTCACTGCTACTAGGATTTAGGCTAGACATTTTGTTACTCAGTAAATACGAACTCGAACCAAGCGCAGCCTCGTAGAGACACCTCCTTCACCCCCCCTCCCCCTCACAGGTCTCCCTACTGCCAGCATTCGTGAATTTTAATTTCATTGAAGTTTGACCCTAGTTCGAAAACCGTGATTTGCCAAATCTTCCTTGAAGATAAGGTTTACTGGTTTTTCAGCCGCTTTAACTTACTGCAGCTTGCAGATCTGGGTCAACTTCTTTGTAAGCGTGTCTGCAAGCTGGAGATTATTGTAGCGAAGTGTAACGTAAATGTTTTGCCCAGTCTAAGTTTGCACATAGTGCTGAATTTTTCTCTGTAAAGTTTTGAAAGTAAAGAACATGGCAAAATATACGTGAAGACGTTTCATTCCTTGAAGTAAGGCTCTAGGGGACAGTTTTTAAAAATATATATATAATCAGTATAAACTTTTTTTTTTTTTAAAGGGGAAGTGTCCGGAAGATGGTTGGGATGAAAATACACTTGAGCTCTTTCTGCATGAGCTTGCAATCATGGATAGCAACAATTTCCTGGGCAATTGTGGTGTGGGAGAAAGGGAAGGGAGAGTGGCATCTGCTTTAGTTGCCCGTCGTCATTACAGGTATGTTTTTAAGGAGCTTGCAAAAATATTTCTTTTTTCCTTTTTTGTTTGAGACAAAGGTGGTGGTGCTCATCATGTTCAACTCTAAGATGTCCTTTGGTCACCCATTTCTTTCTTATTCAAAAGGCTCAGGAACAGACTGAGCAGGCGCCTTTCAAGACATTGGGTAAAAGTTCTCGGATAAGATGGTTAACTGTAAAATCTCCTGTTTTACGGGATTTTAAAGGATGAACACTGACTTTTCCTTGGGATAGTAGAACTTTATTTTAGTCAAAATAATTCCAGTCAGAACAAATGATAATGAATGAATATCTTGGATGAAAAATTCATGTTCAGCAATGGGCTGATGATGTGGTTGATAATATATGTAAAAAGATGCTTTGCACATAAGGTTCAGTGGTGACAGTGCAACGCAAGTGATCTGTGATAATCCCATGTACAGACTTCCCTATCTAGCTATGATGCACAGATTTTTTATTTGGAAGAGTATCCAGCGATATCTTTAGATACTGTATGGCATCATCTAATTTAAGATGAATTGACTTATGTACCAATTTTCAAAAAGCATGTAGTTCTTAAAAAAATTAAGGCAATGTTTGAATCAGCAGCTCATTCCCATTAAAACTTAACTGCACTGCCTAAAGAAAAGAAAGAAGCTAATTTAATTCCTATATATTTTGTTTCCCTCTGGCCTGACAAATCACCCTGAAATTTAGTGGCTTAAAGTAGTCATTTATTATAACCTGTAGGTTAAGTAGGTTGAGCAGGACTCAGATTATGGTTTGGGGGCTTTCATACGGTTACGGTAGGATGTTGCTTTCATACGGTTACAGTAGGATGTTGGCTGAGAGTTTAGTTGTCTGCAGGTTCAACTGGATCATTTATCCAGGGTGATTCACTTAGAGGACTGGGAGTTTAGATGGTTTCTCCGTGTGACGTAAGCTTCTCCCAGCCTGGCAGGTGGATTGCAAGAGGGAGATCCTCAAAACAAAGCCATTCAGGGAGCCAGTGTAAACTTCACGACCTCTTAGGACCTAACTCAGATGTTCTGCCCATAACCTCCACTAGATTTCTCTACTCAAGTAAGTCACTAAGTCCGGCCCAGGTTTAAGTGGAGAGGAATTGGTCTCCAGCTCTTGGTGGTATAGCAGTAGCTCTTGGGCATGAGGAGAAAAATGGAGTACACGGTAGCCACCTTTGGAAGCTAGCTACCACAGCATAATTGATACTTGTTTCAGGTCAGTGTTTTCATATTATTAATTTTATAAGCTATGTCTGCATAGTCAAATATTGCTGCTGCCATTACCTTGGCCTTTTCCATAATACAGTGGATTTCTTAGAACACTGAATATTTGTGTCCAGTTGTTGGCCCTTTTCCACTTAGGTTCATTCATGGAATTGGACGATCAGGTGATATTTCTGCTGTGCAACCAAAAGCTGCAGGTTCTAGCCTTTTGAACAAAATTACCAATTCTTTGGTATTGGACATCATAAAGTTGGCTGGTAAGTACTGTGGTCATCATAACACTTCTGCCTGGTTTCTTTGATGAATGCCTCCTTCCATAAAAGATATGAGTGGCTTTTGAAAAGATAAGTACATAAAAAACATTTGGAATAAGGTAGGAAATCAAAGCTAAAGTGCAATTTGTCTGTGAACCTCCTGAGAGTGTGTGTAGAAGAAACGTTGAGGTGACAACTGTTGCAATTTGATAGAAAAATTGTATAATATCTTGAAGAAGGATGCAAGTTTTTCAATGGAATAACTAATTTCTGCTGTACTTCTTATTCCTAGGTGTTCATACAGTGACCAACTGCTTTGTAGTTCCTATGGCAACTGGTATGAGTTTGACCCTGTGTTTCTTAACTTTACGACACAAAAGACCAGAGGCAAAGTATATTATATGGCCGCGAATAGACCAGAAGTCCTGCTTTAAATCTATGATCACTGCAGGTAACAGGACAGAAATTGCATATATAGTATCTTTGTTGTTACAGAAAATTTAAGTTCTTTAGTATAGAGATAGATAAATGTAATGGAAACTGGGGCTTACTCTTTTTTCATTGTAGGATATGCATCACAAAAATTTATCATGTTAGCCATTTTCAAGTGTATAATTTTGTGGCATTAAGCATATTCCCATTATACAACTATCACCAATATCATTTCCAAAACTTTTCATCTTCTCAAGTTGAAACTATGTCCATTAAACAATAATCTCCCCCTTCTCACTGCCTCCAGTTCCTGGTAATCATTATTCTACTTTCTGTCTCTATGAGTTTGACTATAAAGGACTGGGCCCTTCACAGGAGTGGAGCCATAGGGTGTTTGTATTTGTGATGGACTGTTCATGTAGCTGCCATGAATTTTTAAGTTCATCCATGTTAGAGCATGTGTCAGAATTTCCTTTCTTTTTAAAGACCAAATACTATCTTCTTATATATACTCCACATTCGGTCGTTCATTCACTCATTCACTGATGGACACTTGGTTTGCTTTCACCTTTTGCCTTTTGGTGAATAAACATGAATGCGGATGTACAAATACCTGTTTGAGTTCCTGCTTTAAATTCTTTTAGGTATATACTCAAAAATGGACGTGCTAGATTTTATGTCCCTGCTCTTTAATAGGACATGATTACTTGCCTCACAGGATTGTTTTGAAGAGTAAGTGGGATGTTCTGAAAGTGCCCAGCAGTAATCCCTAGAGCACAAAAGGTGCTTCAGGAATGTTTATTGTTATGAGTATAGTGCATATAAATTTATTACCATAAGTCAGAGTGCAGGAGCACACACATCATGAAGTATAGATGAGACAAAAATCTTCATCTGGTGTTTTCATATTTGACTTAAGTCAGCCAAGTAGATTTGGTAAGCTTAGATAGTCTTGAATGTCTTTAGTCTGTTACATGAGGTGAGGAGTATTGAGCTCTAATTAAACTGCATAAATAATTCATAAACTTTAAAGGGCTTCGTAAGGGGACACATAACAGAAACTGATAGAGATTTACAAAGTATCCAGATTTATTTTAGGTGGCATAAATTGTGAAGTCATAATTCATGTCCTGTTAACCAAAGAACTGATAACTAAACATACAGAAAAGATTGCCATCTTGAAAACCTTTTTTCAAAATAAAATGATGTTGTGGTTGAAACAACAATCTAGAGTCTTTAAAAAAATTTTTTTAAAGCGTAGTCTGCACTCTTAGGAGACAAGATAGTTGCACTCCTTAAAAAAAAATTGCATTTTGTTGTTTGAAAAGTAGAAATAGTGTTGGAGATGGAGGATTTGAGAAAATTAGCAGTCCTTAAGAATTTAAGTTTTGTGTTTGTTTTGATAGCTACATAAGTATAGACATACAACCTGGGCATCTCTGATTGAGTATATTTTAATTGATGATTTTATAGTGGCTGAAGTTTTATATTTCTGTAGCTAGAGTACAGAGAACTTGACGTGGAGTCTAAAACACAAAAGAAAACTACTTGCTCATAACTTGGCTTTAACTTGCTGTGTGACCTTGGGGAAGCCACTTAATCTTCCTGAACTTTAGCTTCCTTATCTTTGAAATGAGGGAGTTGAGCTAATGGTTTCTAAATCCCTTCAGCTTTTAAGCCCATGAATCTAGCCTGCTGCTAGATTTGGTATTTGGAAGATTGAAGATGTGACTACATAATAATGGTATGTGCACAATTTCCCAATTTTATTTTTATCCAATTTCTAAAGCTTAAATACTTAGATTTTACTTTTACCTCTGAGTATTTACTAGTAACTCAAAGTACTTCTGTATGTGCTTTGTATGTTTAGTATATATATTGTGTATACAATATTTTGTTTATGGATATCTAAGTATTTAGCATAGGCTACGTAATTTTATGTGAGTGGAACATTGATCACATGGTAATTATGTGCACTAATTCAGTAGTTAATTTGAATAGTTTTACCTTTGAATTATAGAAGGTTATGAAATGAGGCTGTGCTCCTTAGGCTACTGAAATGCATTCTCTTTTTCTTTACGGTAAAACATTAAAGTGATGTTTTGTGATTTGCTTAAATAATTGAACTACATTATTTTTATTTCTCTCACAAATAGAAATAAGACTCAAAAGTTGCCAGACCAACATTGACTTTTCTGTGGATTGAAATTTATCTTGACTAAGTAATCTACTTGTCAGCAATGCCTGTGTTACTACTTTAAAGTATTATCTATTTAACTTTTATTTTCCTTTACATAATTATTCTTTGTTGTCATAGAAAAGTGTTTAAATAGCTTTGTGATCCTAATTGTGGCCTAGTTGTCCACACTGTTTTGAGCTGCCTTTGACTTAAACCAGTGTTTAGCTTGGTGTTTCCTTGTAGGGGGTGGGGGGAAAATTCATACATTGAACAAAATAAATATTTACAGTTTTTCTGTTGTATAGATTAACTTTCTAGTTTTCCAGCAGTCTTTATTTTAAAAGTTTCCACTAACAGCTTGATTTCTGGTTGTTTTGGCTAGGTTTTAAGCCCGTGGTGATAGAGAATGTTTTAGAAGGTGATGAACTGCGCACAGACTTGAAAGCAGTGGAGGCCAAAATCCAGGAACTTGGGCCGGATTCCATCCTGTGTGTTCATTCGACTACCTCCTGTTTTGCTCCAAGAGTGCCTGATAGGTACATGATTTGTGAATAGTGTCATTAGAATGTACATCTGTTAATCTCAGATATGCTTAAGTAACATTAGGTGAGTAGGCTGTTTAAGAAAATAGATGGACCTCGTGCAGAAACAGCACAAATGACTTGGGAAAATAAAAATTTTATGTAGATGGAAAAGCAGCTAATCTGAGGGGAAGTCCCTTCATATGGTGTAGGGAGACACCAAGCATCTCAGTTTTCTTGCTTTTTTTTTGTTTCTGATCTCTTAGCATTTTCCCCTCATTATTTAAGCAGTTTCTTTTTTACAGTAAATGTTAGATTTACCTGTTTTCACTCCTATCTCAGCATCTTTGATTTTATACTTTTAATTGTTATGGACTATCATTAGTAACAGATTCTTCAAAAGAAAATCTAAGCATTATTTCTCGTCCATTGGATTGTTTTTAATTGGAAGAGAAACCCAGATGTGTACTTATGTGTATACCAATGGATGACCTTGCATTTTGAGAAAAATGCAATTATTTAAGAAAATGAAGGGTAAAAAGCAAATGCTTGCTTACTTTTTCAAAGGATGGTTACAGATTCTTAGAATAGTAATGTAATAGACTTATATCTAGTAATACAGATTTCTACCTTTGATAGCAACACTGTGTTGTTTTTAACATTTTGAACAGAAATGCTAGCAATTTGTATGACTACTGACTGTTTTTCTTTTTCTTTTTTTGGTAGTGTCGAGTTATACTTTGGTCTTAATTCATGAAATCATGTTATTAGACAGATTTAAAAAAAAAGGTTTATTTATTTATGCATCCAGAACTGGGGTACAGGTCAGTGGTGCAGGGGCAGTAAGAGGACTCACCAGCGACAGAGTGGGGAGCAGAACAGACTGACTGACAAAGTACTCTCCTGAGGGGAGCAGCGGGCAGGTCAGGAGAGGTCTGCCGCGCCATGTGGGTCACCTCCGGGGTGGGTATTGAACTCATGCTGAAGTGGCTTTGGCTCCTTAATGCTGTGCTTTAATGCACTGTGCCGCTAGGAAAGGCCCTTGTAGACAGATTTTAAGAGACAGTTTTAAAATGCTCTTGAAAATTTATCTAGATTTCTTGGTGAGTTTGTGAATTCTATTTTAAAACTTTATATGCTTTCAGTGTTTTCCATTATTAATCAGATTTTAAATTTGTTTTGAAATATTAAATAAGTGTCTTTATTTTTTTTCTTCATTTATTATTATGATCTCTAGAAAATTTTTAACGTGGGAGCAGTGGATCACATTTTCAAAAACAGCATATGGATATTTGTTAGTTACATTATTCTTGAGGATAGTTATGCTTTTGTTTCATTTTGACACTTTATGAATATTTACATTATGGTGCAGTTTTTAGTATTTGACATGTATTAGTCCCTTTGAGAAAAACCAAAATTTCTGTCAGCCAGTCAAGCCCTCCTTTGCTACTTGTTAGTGGTGTTGTGTGACAGAAGTTTCTGGTGAGGGTGAGCTTCAGGCAAGCTGGGGTGCGCAGTGAATAGAGACGTGTCTGCATTTTTTAGTTTATTAAATTTAAAAATACATTTTTATTTCTTTACATTAAGCTTAATTCCTGTGTAGTCTTCACTTGAATGGGTATCTATTTTGTCTTTATTAATTAAAGGAGAGAGGGTATTGTGGAGCAGAATCAAAAGAAATTTTAAAATCCGGGGGTCGCACCGTTGACACCTGAATTGGCTCAAAGTGGGACTGAGTTTGCCCCTCAGGGAGGTGATTTTTCTTTGGGCTCTTTCCTTGGGCTCTGCCTTTGAATACTTTGTACATTCTGAGTGTCAGCAGACTTGATTGATTCAGAATATTTTAAACTGCTCATAGTGATTTTTTCCTTTGATTATATTATTTTGTAAATTATGGTGACTCACTCTCAAGAAAGTAAGTTTGTTGTTCAGACTTCCTCCTGATGCTTTCATTAGAACAGACACATGAAAGTATCTTTTATATTATAAAGAAAAGAAGGGTGCATACCTCGAGGTCTTTCTTGTTAAAAGCAACAGATTAAGTTACAGGGTTTTCTGTGTCAATTTGTGAGCTTTATGAAAATGAATGAAAAAAATGAGTTTTAAGTTCATAAAACTTTAAGGAAGCACATTGAACACTTGTGATAGAAAAATAGAATAATGTTATATATTAATATACATCTACTAGGAAAAGATGTATTATGCATAGATATTAAAACTATATAGTTTATATTTGAAAAAGTCTTAGTAGAAAACAACTTCTATTGTGTCAAAAGTGCTTGACTTCCAAATTCTTTACATGGTAGAAAGAAAATTTTAAGAAAATTTATTTTATTAAGCTGTAAATTTAGTTTTGGCTTCATAGTGTAAAGACTTCTAGTAGAGATGACCTCAGTCATAAGTACTATTTGGTTTTTGAGGGAACATCTATTTATTACACTCTAATTAAAATTTATCATCCTAATTTGCATAAAGTTAGACTCTCAAATTGTCTTAATATAAGTGTCAAATGAAAAAGTAAGAGTGAATTTAAAACCAGCAGCTATTTAAAAGATTCTTTACTATCTAAGTTGTTGGAAAATGTTATTTTGGCACAGAAACATTTTAATGTTCTGTATTTTTTAATACATTAAAGTCAATTTGAAAGTGTATTTTTTTACTTTATGAAATATTTAATGTGAGATTCTTAAGATTTGAAGATATACTAGTTATTTTGTAGACATTAGCTTTAGTATGATAAACAACCAGAAGCATTTAAACATCAGCATACACACTGCCTCTAAGGAGTCATCATAAATAATCTGTTTCTTGCTTTTTATACTGGAAAATTTAAAGCAACCATCTATATAGATTTTTATAGATATACATTTTCTCATTTATTGGTAGTATTAATTTAAAAGCCTTTTTAAGTTTGTTCTAAAGTGCCTGCTATGTATTTCCAAATTGCTGCATTATATTCTAAAACACCAGTACAGAAATCTCACTTTAAGTCACTTTTTTCCCTCATGTATGTTAAGGATAACTGGATGTTTCTTTAAAAATTTCACACTGTAATTTATAAAGCACAGTTTCAATGTCTTTCTATTGAATATTTATGTTTACAGACTAGAAGAACTGGCTGTGATGTGTGCCCACTATGGCATTCCACACATTGTCAACAATGCTTATGGAGTGCAGTCTTCAAAATGTATGCACCTCATCCAGCAGGTAAGAGAGTTAAAAAGTTATGTCAAAAAAAAAAATGCATCTTAACATATTACAGGATTAATCCTTTGGTTTGTTCTTACAAACAAACATGTCAAAAACAGTTACCTAACATGCTCTACTTTGAGGAGCATTAGAAATTTGTATCCACATTCTGTCAGTAAAAGTCCTTGTTCTGTGATAGTGTGATGGTAACAGGACTAATAGCTTCTGTCAGAATCATCATAGGAAAGTCTTCAGTTGCTTAGGATTCTCATTTTTCTCATAGTGGTAGCATATTTTAAATTACAGTACGTACTCACTGGACATGAGATTCTTGGAATCAGCAAATTATGAGTTGCAGGGTTTTTAAAAGTCTGCTGTTTCTGTAAGCATCAAGAAAACTACCAACTCCATAGTTGCCTACCAGGATGTTTATAAATTAAGCCATTTTCAGCCTAGAATAAAGGTAAAATGATTCCTTAAATATTAAATATAGAACAAAGTCTTCACACACAGCGGCTGCTCGGACTGCGTGGTTTCACATGCTGTCTTCTTCCTTCCCACCGAGTATCCTCCGGCGTGGGGCACAAGCCCAGTGTACCATCCTGAGATGCGCCCATCCTGTTTTCTTGCCAGCAAATATATGCCCTTTGAGTGTTTCCTGTGATTTCATGACAAAGGATTCCCACAAATTGTGGGAAATAGTTATGAGAACAATATTGTTCTCTTATTTATGCATGCTTCAAATTTGGGTTTATGTTTCTCTCAAGTAGCCTTGGACAGCACTTAAATGCCAATAAAAGGCAGTTCTGTTTCTTTTTATGTGCTACTGCTTTGCATGTTTTTCAGTTATTAGTCTTAGGTCTTTCTGTTTCTGTTTGATATGGTAATTTTTTTTCTTTTGATCTAAGTTTATAAAGACATAACAAGAGTAACAGGGTAAGGCTTCGATTTAAACAATCACAAACTAGTCTCCTGAGCAGTGTGTGCTTTTTCCTGCTCTTGCTCTTCCACCTGTTGCCTCTTAGATTAAACCAGTTATCTGCTCCTTCTATGCTCTGAGATAGGACTGTGGAGAGAGTGTGGCGATGAAGGTCAAATGCAGTTTTAATATTAATAGGAGTGTAGATTGTGAATACAGATTGAAAATCTGTGGCTAGAGATAAAGGGAAAAAACGATCTTAGTTGAAATTTAGATAGTATCTATTTTTAAGTGGAGAAAATTGAAGCCCAGTAGACAGAGGTCATCGACTGTGTCGGAGGGGGACTAGAACTTAGTTTTACATTTCTTGTAAGTATGCAACTTTTTGCCAGAATATTAGATTTTCACTTGCGCTCATTTGTAATAGAAGATCATCTATGATTGTAACATAAGGATATATGAGTTATGTAGAAACACTGCCAAAGGTATGTAAAAAAATTTCTGTTAGTTGATATTAAAAAATAAGAACGCTCTATTTGTTATTCAGTTAGTGGTAGGAACAGAATTTGCTGAGTAAAGTGCTTGTGCAGGTAGTGGCTGCTTCCGGCAGCGAGATGAGACAGTCACCTCTGTGTATAACCAGTTGACGGGCAGCATAGTCCTGCAGTCCACCAGGTAATGGGGGCACTGTTGCACTCACAGAGGGCATTGAGACTCACTCACCAGTTTCAGGAACCACTGGTGACATTTATTTTCAAGGCATGACATGAGAGAGGCATGGGAGGAAACCTCTTACCCAATTTTAAAGTGAAAAAGTGTTTCCATCTCATTCCCACCTGAACTGATCCTGAAACCCTGTGATCCTCTTTAGTTTCCCCACCTCCAGGTCAGTCTTTAGGAAAGTAATTGTTGTGAGGATTGATTCATGTGTGAAAGCAGGTTGCAGGTTATAAAGTGCTACTCCACATGTCAGGGACAACATTTAAAAACTCAGTTTACTACCTAAACATGTTTTACTGGCACTATTACAAATAAAATGAAATGTTTGATTAGTATGAATCCTTTTTATGGTATTTATTTGTTAATATCAGTTGCTGTTTATTCTTTTTAAAAGTAGTGTGTAATACCATACTTTATTTCATTCTAGGGGGCCCGTGTGGGTAGAATAGATGCTTTTGTGCAGAGCTTGGACAAAAATTTTATGGTTCCAGTAGGTGGCGCTATAATTGCTGGCTTTAATGATTCCTTCATCCAGGAAATTAGTAAGATGTATCCAGGTAGGTAAATGAGCAGTTTTGGTTTTTTTTTTGGTAAATCAGTAGTTTTTTTTTTTTTTTAAAGTAACTTGCAAACAAAAATACATTTGTACATAGACTACTGTAATAAGTCTTAATTTCTCAAACATTTTTTTACCTCCTGAATATAACTTTTCATCCTTATTTTAGGAAGAGCTTCAGCTTCTCCTTCTTTAGATGTGCTTATTACTTTATTATCACTTGGGTCAAATGGCTATAAAAAGCTATTAAAAGAAAGAAAGGTAAGCCTTCCCTTTTGGTGTAAAATAATGCTGTTGACTTGGATAGTACTCTGAATCATTGGTGGTCTTGTTTTACCACTCTGGGAGGGTTGGTACCTAATATGGCCCCACATGATTTACTTTGATCTGAAACCATCGTAGGTGGTTTTCAGCTAATCATTGTCATCTTGTCTATCCACATTCTTTAGGAATCTTGAATAGGCACTTTTGCTTTTGTATTTTTGAGAAATGCCTACATCAGGGATTTGTAAAATTCAGTGCATTTTTCACTTAGTGACGGAGGTTTTTGAAAGACAGATGAAATTTTCATTTCAGTTTTTGGAAGCATGAAGTCTTGTTTAGGTGTGAGATATTAGTTCTAGGGGAGAACCAAAGCAAAAGCTGTCCAGATTCTCATTCTGAAAGGAGAAGGAATTTTAAGCCTTGCTATTATTGGAATGCTGAACTCATTGGCTGTGTTGGCTGTAGAAAGGAAAATAAAAACTGGACTTGGTCTCCAACTTGAAAATAATTTTGGACAACTTTGAAAGTACAGACACAACAATGATAGAAGCTGACTCAGAGAGGATGTTTCATTGTTCTCTAGCTGAGAGAGCTAGAGGTGCCTGGGGCAGTGTTAACTTTCTGAGCTTAGTAGCAATCAAAGTTCCTTAGATTTTTGGTGATACTTTACATAGCATTAAAAAATTGGCAATGTATTATCTGGTAGATGCTCTCAACAGCCTCTAAATATATAACAGAAGTTTAAGCTTTTTTGGTACCCTATTTACATTGGCTTACCTCACTTCTACTTTAATCTATAGGAAAAGAATTGTTTATTTTTTATTAAAGACATTTTTTTTGAAGATTTGTTTATTTATGCATACAGAACTGGGGTATAGACCAGAGGCTCAGGGGCGGTGAGAGGCTTCAAATGCTGAGGGGAGCTGCGGGAAGGTCAGGAGAGGTCTGCCACACCATCTGGTCACCTCTGGGGTGGGGATCGAACTCCTGTTGAAGTGGGGATCGAACTCGTGTTGAAGTGGTGTTAGCTTCTTAATGCCATGCTTTAACCTACTGTGCCACCAGGGAGGGCTCCTGTAAAGGACAGTTTTTAAGAGTAATAGGATGTAGGAAAAAGTGCATTAGGGAAATGCAAGTTAAGTAATTTTCAAGTAATAGTAGTTTCACCATGAAAAAGGTAGTTCAGGTTGCAGGTTTTATTTTCTGCATTTATGAAGAAACAACTGGTATCTGAAGCCACTTCTAGTCCTAAAAGACTAGAATATTTAATTAAATAGAATGTCTACTTCCTGGACCTTAGGTATGATAATCATGGAAATTAGCCTGTAGTCTAGTACAGATGTTATATTGGTAATTATAAATCAGGTCTCTCATATATTTGAAATTTTAAGACAGATGGTCTCTTCAATTTCATGGTTCCTCATACCCACTTCTAATTCTGTCATGCTCCTGTTCTACCCCTCCCCATATGAACCGTAGCAAGGTCCCCTTAAGAGCATGATCTAAAGTGTGGATGGACCTGTGTTCCTGTGTAATTCAGTGTAGGTATAACTGAGTGTGGGATAAATTTTTGTTCGTAAACATTACTGAGCATATATGATGTGTCAGCTGCATAGCTTATCAATAAAATAGACAAAGGTGTCTGTTCTTGTGGAATTTATATTGCATATGGAGAAAACTAACAATACACAAGCAGTAGAATACATAGATTATAAATGTCAAAAGTCCAGTGGAAGAAGGAAAGAGTAAAACAAAGGAAGAGATGATGAGGAGTGGAGAGAGGAAAGGAGATGGTGGGAAATGATGGTTAAACGCAGTGGTATGGGCAAACCCTTTGAGAGGTGACACTTGAGCTGGCTTGGTCTGAGGGAGTGCGCGCATGAGGAGGCAGTGTGGCAGCGGGAGCCAGTCCAGGCAGCTAGGGCGGACGTGTGTGTGAGGGAGTGGTGTGCTGGCGCACAGTGAGCAGGAGTGTTGGGGAAGCTGCCGGCAGGGCAGTAATGGTGCACACGGTCACGTAGGGCCTCAAGGCCTGTGTGACCTCTTTGCCTCGTATTCTGAGTGAAGTAGGAGCCATGGTCTCGCGTTTGGTCAGAAAAGGCTCATGTACAGTTATTCCTGACGTCGTCTTTCAGTGCCGTGTTTGAGCTGCTTATATGAGTGCCGTCTAGTGTGGGTCCCCTGCTGTCTATGTGGAATAGAAACACCTCGGGCTGCGTGGCAGCCCCTTCCCTACATGGACTTCCCTGGCGTAGGGAAGACCTGGCTCCTCCCGTGAGCCCCTGTGAGCTGTCTGTTCATTTTCATAGAAGTGGGGGGCAGAGAAGTAGCTGTATGTAGTAAGTTGTCGGCAGTTGTGCTTCTGATCTTCTAGCTTAACTTCTAAAGTCCACCACTTTCTTCTTACATAGATGACTAATCTGGCTTGGTAGTAGCTATGTAGCTATAAATCTTAAGACTTAAGTCTACTAATCCTAAAGAGGCAAAAACAATGAATACATGTAGGTGCCCTGGGTCAGAAAACGAAGCCGTTTCAGAAAGCGCGCGTGCTGTGAGATTGTGCAGTCACTGTTGCTGGGGAAATGCCCCTCTCCACGCCTGGCACTCCTGTGAGACCCGTCCTCCTTTTCTACTGGGTTCCTGTGATCTGGCTAGCCTGGTTCTTTGGGTGTGTGTGGATAGAGTCCTTCGAAGCAGATTTCATAGGTCCTTTGGAGACAAAGAGTCAGGTGTTTTGCAGATTGTAAACTAAAGAGAATCTTACGACTTGCAGGGCTGTTTCTGGCCATGCCAGGAAAGCATCCTCAAGATGAGAGAGAATGTAAGAAAGAAACAGCTAAGAGACATTGAGTCTCTGGATCCAGCTTACCCATTTGTAGACTTGACTGTTAGAAGACCAAATAAAGCCCTTTTTTAACTTACACTAGGTTTCTAACACTGATAGTTTCCTCTTATGTCCGAAGCCCTTGGTAATGTTCCCACATTTCTCTCCATTTCCACAGTCACACTCCCTGATCAAGCCCTTACCCTGTATCACCTTCGGTGCTTCCGGTTACTTGCTGACTCACCTGCTGGTCTCCAGCCTTGGTCTGCTCTAAGCTGTCACATTGTAGAGCAGTGCTCACATGAGTATTTAAAAGAACAGCCTTCTTCTAGTTATTCCTCATTGGGTTCTTACTGTTGACAAGACAAAGTCCAAACTCCTCAGACTGCCACACTGATTCTTTATAGTCAGGTCCCACCTGACCTTAGCAGTGTTGGTCCCTGCTCCTTGCTTTATTCAGGCAAAGAAGTGTTTATGCGTAGGCCCTGAGGTTAAATTCACAAGGAGACTGACAGCTTTTACCCTCATAGAAACGATAGCCAGGGGAAATCTAGATATTAATAAATAATTACAAATCTGACAAGAGTTGTGTAAGCATAGCACAGTGTATGTGAACATGCCCCCCAGCTCTGGCAGGCTGGGAAGGCCTCTTCTGCCAAGGTGCAGCTCTTGCGTTTATTTACTGACCCTGTGGTATAATCATAAGCTAGAATCAGTGGCTAGTGTAACTGTAGGACTGTGAGGGGGCACTTTAGACCGAGTCCAGAAGCTAAGTAGTATGCAGAGAGTGCAGTGTCTGTATTAGATCTCTTCATAAAACTAGCTGTCCTTCAGTGTATGTAGATTCTGCAGGTCAGGAGTCAGGTTCCCCGTGTAGCTGATGCACTCTTAGACCCCACGCCCCTTTGTTTTGGAGCAGCACAGACTTGGGCATAACATCAGAGCATTACTTACACACAAGTAGGTAAAATGGGGTTGAGATGGACTGCGTAAATACCGCAGACAGCAAAGCAGAGCTGTGACTTGTGAGTTGTCTGTATTAACTTCTGGTCTTTTTAGTTATCATAGCTAACAGGTTTTTCTTTTTTTTTTTTTTTCTATAATGTACTGCCTTTTATCACATTAATCTCTGCAGATTTGGCTATAATTAATTTTTAAACTAAATTATTGCATATAGTGATGAGGTCTGACAATAAGACCATTATGTAAAATTTTAAGTTAGGCATTGGAAAAGTATCCTTTCTTACATATATAAAAACTTTTTTTTTAAGATTTATTTTTTATGTATATATACAGAAATGGGATACAAGCCAGAGGTGCAGGGGCAGTGAGAGGCTTCACCAGAGACAGAGTGGGGAGCAGAACAGGCAGATTGATGAAGTACATTGCTGAGGAGAGCAGCGGGCGGTCAGAAGTCTGCTGAGCCATATAATCACCTCTGGGGCCAGGGATCGAACTTGCACAGAGATTGAGCTCACACAGAAGCGGCTATGGCGAGCTTGCAGTGCTGCGTCCTTACCCATTGTGCCACCAAGGAGGGCCCTACACATGGAAACTTTAAAGATTTTTATCTGCGGTTAGATTGCCATATAAGCATACTACTCAGTATTTCTTGCTTTTGTTCTTGAATTGAAACCACAAAAAATAATTAATAATGTTAAATAATTGCCATAATAAACTGGTTTGTTTTGAGTGATTTTGTAGTTGAATTTAATTAGCAGATTAAGTTGATTATTCAAGTGAATGCCTTTTCTATGACATTCAGTAGAAGGGTGTGCAACTAACATTTTTATGAGCACTGTATACTATACTTCGCTGGGGTCGTTATGTGCACCTTTATGAAGGAGCATTAACCCCACTTTACAGATCAAAATAAGGCTCAAACAATACTTACCCAAGGACCAGATGTAAGTACCAGAACTGCCAGTAGGAACCCAGTTCTGTGTGACATGAGCGCCTCTGTGCTTTCCCTGGCCACTCTCCTCTCAGCGCTGGCCGCCACTCATTAGGGAGTGGTTACCAGCTCTGCACTGTGCTTTTGCTATAAAAATCTTGTGGTCCTGTGCTCTTATCTAGAGGAGGTATGTAAAACCCCAAAGCTCTAAGATATTAACTGGTTTCATTGTAACTTTTTTTGTGTTGAATTTACTTAGGACAGGGATTATCTATAAGTGGTAATCATTGTCAGTGTATGAAAATGCCCAGTTGAGAATTCTGTTATAAAAATGAATACACTTTTGCTCTTTAACGACTTCATTCAAGAGGCAAGTTTTTTGGTTGAAAAATGTGGATATCCCCCTTAACCATAATCGCATATTTGTAGCATAAATATTGTTTTTTTATTGGATTTTTTGCAGAAGTAAGAGCCTCTTATTTAAATGGACTTGCTTTGGTACTGTGAAAATTCGATCGTGATAATTTATTGGTTCAGCTCTGGAGAAGCTAAGGCAAAGCTATTTTTCTCCAGCCAAAGCTATTTATATATCATCACTGAAAACTCCTTTTTATATTATTGGTGTTATTGCGTACTAAAAAAGGAGCGTTAAAGAAAACTTAGGATTTTTTTATCCTGTGCTCTTATTCACTAAATGATATTTTTAGAGGTTATTTCATCTAGCTGTATCTCTTCAGCAAAGCTTTATCTTTTTCACAGTAGAGGCAGACAAGAACTCAGCTTGAAGCCATTCCTTCTCAAACCTTCTTTTTTGAAGGGTGAAAAGATCAGAGAGAGTGGAACTGTGTGAGTGAATTGAACTTCTTTGCCCTTAGCCCCTTTCTGATCAGCACATCTGCTTCATTGAGGGGCCAAATGACCACGGTTTAACTGAAAGAGGCTTTTAAGAAAAGGGGTAAGATTTAAGAGGCTCTTTCTTTGAGTTTCCTGTGCAGAAAGAAAGATCAGTCTTAGGCGTTTATTCTCACGTCTGCTTTGCTTCTGGAGGAGACTGTCCTCTGCATCCCTCTCCATCAGACAGTGCTTTGCTGAGCAGGGCAGGCACACGCAGTGCTGCAGATACCTGCAAGTGCAGAATGAGGAGCGACAGCAGAGTGACTGCTTCAGTAGCTGTGGTTAGTGAGCTGACGCTTAGAGGACAAACTAAGTTCTAAAAAGAACATCAGGCATAATTTCAGGAGCTAAGTTTGGAAACATTAGATTTGTAGCCCTGAAAGTGGAGTAGTTGAATCTCAACAAAAGCATCCTACTTCAGCCCTGGAATGGGGACCTCAGCAGGGACATGTGGAGGCGGCAGTGCTCCGTGTGGGAGGCGAGGACAGCCCAGTGTGCCTGCCCCCTTTCCTGCCGGCCGCCGTCAGTCGCCAGCCTGCCCTCACACTGGATGTTAGCACGCTGTTATCTTCAAACATAAATATCGTGTGCATGGATCTCTGCCTCAGCCTATTGCTCTTTCACCCTTTCAGGTTATCGTTGAAATACTAGACTATTGGTTATGGTTCCCTCTTGATTTATTACCCATCTTGAGAGACAGATTTTAATAGTATGTAAAGTCCTGTTTTCATCTTATCCTGTAGTGTGAAACAGTATGCTTCAAAGCCATAATGCATTCGATCTTTTTCTTTAAGATTTAGTGAATTATGCACACCTCTGGGCTATGGGAAAGGATAGGCTAGATGCTGGGTATCACGACTGCAAATCAATTTGCAAAAGACTATAGGAAAGATAGTGTGCAGTATAATTCAACTGCTTCTCCATTCACATCTTGAACTATGCTGTAAAGTTTTGTATTTGTATTCTAGAAATATAGCTGACATTAGCATTCAAATATATAGTTCAGTTTATCTCTAGTGAAAAGTCTTTTAAAATTAAGTTAAATATAGCACAAAAGACATAGAAAATCAATAATATTTCATTTCCTTTAAGAAGGTCTTTCTATATACATTTGCTTGGGGTGCTTATAAATTTCTTCCTCCACAGAAGTATTTTATAATAAATGTCAGTTATAGATTTAGCTGTAGCAAAAAAATAGTGCAGGTTCTGAAGTATCTTTAATATATTAGGTAAAAAACTGCTTAGCTAAGTATTAGAGTCGGAAATAGTGATGAAATCTCCCAAACAGTATTTTTGAGATGGGTGAGTATATTAAGACCTTGATGACCTTGATGTGTGGAATATTATAGTATTCAGTGTATTGTGCTTTACATTTTAAATTATGCTTATTGGGTCACCTGTCATAAACTTTTACATAGCGATAACTATAAATATTTGCAGATGGATGTGAACTTGACTCAAAAGTTTTTTTTTTATTTGTTTAATTGCTCCCATACTGGTAATATGTGAGATTTAGTTACCTTATTATTATGTTTATAGCCTAAAGATTTTTACCCTAATGTTAGCTACAGTTAAAACCAAATTCTAGTGGCATTAAGCAAGTGATTGATAGAACTGGTAAAACTAATTTATTAAAGTATTAGAAATTGAACATTAGGAAAATCTTGGTTTTTAATAGCGCGCATGCATCAGTAAGCTTAAAAGTACTCTCTAGAGGTATTGCGAAGGAAACATTTCTTCTTTTTTTTTTTAAATTTTCAGACATAGTGAAGTCAATTAAGTACAAATTAACTACTCATCAGTTTTCTATTACTTTAAGGGTGTAACCACATTGGTGATTACTGTGGCAGCCAGGCTGGATAGATTATGTATTAAATTGGTCCTCACCATTGAATTAGACTTGGTGTTTTTTACTGTTAGGAGGTAAGTGGAGCAGGTATAAAAGGCACTTCGTGGCTGTCATACTTGTCTGCAGGGTAGTTTGATGACATCAGAGCAAGAGAAATCAGACAGATGCAGGTTATCACTTTGATGTGTGATATAGATAGAAAAAAATAAGTAATTAATACCTAATTAAAACGTAACTGCTGCCTTTTCCTTTTTTTAAACAACACAGATCGTTTAAATTAGTGACCTAATTACTGTATAGTAGAAGAAAATGTATAGTCATTTTAAAGTTGTTCTTAAATTTTTATGATATTTTAGTGTTTTACTCTTCATTAACACTAGTGTGCTAATACAGGATTATGAATGGTTTCATTTGCTAGATAAACTCATTTTACCATCTCAAGTGAATTTCAGAATATTAGCTTAAAGAGGGGACAGGAAATGTGTGTCTGGAAAAGATGTCTATAATAACTTTCCCTCTCATTTCTGCAAATGGTGATATATTTGCCTCCTTAACTGTTTTTCTACACTTTTTTTAAATGACAAAAAAGGAAGGCTTATTACATTCAGTAGTAATACTTCCTCACAACTCCCTTAGGTATAACCACTAGGTATGTTAACTTTTTTAATACAAAAAGAATCCATTTATTTTAGTGATCCAAGACTTTATAATTCTGGCATTAAGAATTGATTTCATAAAATATCATAAAAATTTAAGAATGGCTTTAAAATTTGTTTAGGTCAGAGTCTAAAAGGTACTAGGTTGACATGGGTAAAATATTTATGGTCTTAAATGCTCCTTAATAATTTATAAGCCTGGTGGGAATTTTCCTGCCTACCAAACAAAGATGGAGTTAGTCATCGCCTGTATTAGAGGTAAAAACGCTACTTTCTGGGACCCTGGGTGGGATCAAACTATACCCCTCACCTTCAAAAACATGAAAGCAGCTTAATGTGGCCTTTGAAGCTGGAGAGGCATCATGTCTGTTGAGTCCACTTGTGTATTCTGTTAATCTCTGGCCCAGCTGTGTTTTAGAGTTGATATGTTTTAGCTATGACTGAAGAGTGGGTCATGCCATCCACTCTTTTTGCTTTGATACTATTTTGCTTACTAGGAGAACAAAGTATGATTTTAGGTCAGTAGTTACCAATATTTAATATTTATTTGTAACTTTGTAAACTACTTACATACAGGTTTGCACATGAAGTTTTACACTCATAAGCTATCTTTTCTGTTAGGGAGACATTATTTCTCAAAGTAGGATCAGTAATGCAATTTTAGTTTTTAGTTGCTTTATCCTTTTAATTGAGTTAAGGAAATTGTTAGTTTTAAATTTGCATGGTTAAGGAAATACATTTTTGAACTACCTTCCTGAGTTACATATCGACACATTTACATGCAAAGTCTGACACATTTTTCTTGGTGAGGAAGAAATAGTCTCTGCTTGCAAGGATTTTTTTCATGCTAGTAAGTAGTGGTAGGCTGTATTCATGTAAGCCAGTGATAAATCAGATTGTGATAAATATAATGAAGGAACCAAAATAGGTAATGGTGTTGCAGGAGAGGCTGGGAGTTGGGGTGGCGGAGTTGCAGAGAAGTAAAGAGCAGTCTCTTAGAGAGAGGCCACAGATGGAGAAGAGCTTCCAGGCCAGCGCAAGCAGCACCAGGCTCTAACACTAGAAGGAGTTCGGGACGGTGGGTGGCTGGAGAGGACCGAGGTCGCTGCGAGTGGTGAGCCTGTGCAGGTGGTGACGGTTGCTGAGTTTTGGTGCGTTGGCTGGGCCAGATCACGAGGGGCATTGCCATGGAAGCAGCTCAGTGTTTTCATACTTGGATGAGGAAGTGATGCGGAATGGTCATGAGGACTGATTTATCCTTGTAGAAGACCACTCTGACCTCTGTGTGTTGAACATATGGTAGAGAGATGGGGAGGAAGGATGAGAAATTATTTAGTATCAAAAGAGTTGATGTCTGTGTGGGCTGGCACTTGTAGACAGGCTGGATTTGCGATGCGCACTTCATAATCCCAGAAGAGAGGAATGCACTGGTTCTCAGCCTTCTTTACCTGAATCCTGTGGTTTCTGATAACTTTGAATCTTCCTATGTTGTAGCAAAGGAAAAAACTGCCCCTGTGGCACCTGCGTGGGGGAATTTACAGTCTAGACTTCATGCTAGTCAGGTTTTTATTTATTTATTTTTTGTCTTGTTAAATATGGCCTGTTACAATATTTGACTCTTTAAATATTAATATTTTGTTACAGGAAATGTTTTCATATTTGTCCAGTCAACTAAAGAAGCTGTCAGAAGCCTACAACGAAAGACTGTTACATACACCTCACAATCCCATATCTTTAGGTGATTATAACTACCTCTTAACTGTCTAGCAGGAAATCGGTATTTCTAGAAAGAGAGTGAGTTCTTTCTGGTTAGACATTATTTCTAATTGTATCACAGTATTAATCTGTAAATTGAAAATTTTAGTCTTAAGAATGTTTCAGTGTATTTCTAAGATAAAACACGTATGCTGAAAGAGTCCAAACCAGTTACTGAGTTTTATAATTAATACCCCCTTTTATTCTGTGAGTACATATAGTATAATTTACTTCTCTCTCTCTCTTTTTTAAAAGATTTATTTACTTATGCATACATACAGAACTGGGGTACAGGCAAGAGGTGCAGGGGTGATGAGATAATTCACCAGAGACAGTGAGGAGCGGAACAGGCAGATGGATGAAGTACACTGCTGAGGGGGAAGTGGGCTGTGCTATGTGGGTCACCTCTGGGGCGGGGATCGAACTTTCACTGAAGTGGCTGTGGCTAGCTTGCTGTGCTGCGCTTTAACCCGTTGCGCCACAGGGAGGGCCAGTATAATTTACTTCTTAGTTCATGTATATATGAAGAAAGTAAGGAAAGAAAGAAAATGCTCTTCCACGGGGAACCGTTTGGCCTTCAGTATATAGTAAAAACTACCTCCAACGGTTCTTAGCTGGTTTCTCGTCTATTCAGATGTAGAAGTGATACGGCTCAAATCCCAGTTCTGGCAATACTAGCCTCTGACCTCCTTTTCCCTCCCTGTAAAATGGAGATAATGATTCTGCACGTGTGGACACTGGCTGAGATTATCTTTGTAAAGGATCTAGAGTGAGTGCTATGTCAGTCAATAACTGGTAGCTAGTAGTGTTGGTTTAGCTAGAATATAACTTATCAATGTAACCTAAGAAAAATAATTTCCATGTGTGCTGAGCAATATTCCACCTTCTCATTTTACAGGTTCTCAAAACTTGATTGATTTGGAGTAAATTGCTCAATCATGTCATTGCTCTGTTTAATTGGAAAGTTTACCCATTGGAATGGTGATAGGAAAATTCTGTTCCTTGTCTGACTCTGTTCCTTTATATTAACATATGTTTTTGTCTGATATGAAAAACAAATCTTTAAGTTCATTAAAGTGAAATTTTGCCACTTGAATAAATGTCTGTATTTCTGAAATAGGTCAGTTACAAAAGGACAGATACTGTATGATTCTGCTTAAATGAAGTGTTCAGAGTCATTAAAATCAGAGCGACAGAAGGCACACAGGAGCCTGGCGCGGCTGCCGGGAGACGTGAGTGCCCTGTCGTTTAATAGACGGAGTTCAGTTTTACACAGTGAGGAGAGCTGCAGGCTGGTGGTGTCGCCCACCAGCAGGGGTCTGCACATTCCCTGCCCGGTACAGCTGAGGTTTTATGTTACATGGACTTTACCACAGTAAAAGAAAGCCACGCTGCCATCACGAATGTTTTTTGAGTGATTTTTGTGCTGGTCAACCAAGGCACCACGGGACATTTGCGTTTTGTTTTCTTTTTTTCCAGCTATGACACTTGCAACTCTCGATGAGCACCAGGACAAAGCTGTCACTCAGCTCGGCTCAATGCTATTCACCAGGCAGGTTTCTGGAGCCAGGTGAGTACTTTAAAGAGGTTTGGGTTTATTTGGCCTCTCACGGATGATGCTAGGAAAGAGCCTCTCCCGACCAATATTCCCGGCCCAGCACCGAGCTCCGTCATGGAGTAAGAGGGAGGTGCACCTGGAGGCTGTGGTCCTGCTGCTGCAGATGGCGTTTGGAGTAGTCACGGGAAGACACGCACCTTCTTTGTTCACACACACACAGTCTCATCACCTCTCTCTCTAATTTTTTATCTTGATTTTTCTTTGTTAGATAATCTTCAGTGATAGTACCTTGTAATGTGAGAAATGTGTCATCTTTGAAAATGGTTTTAAGGAAAAGTCTGTTTCCTAAAGTAATAAGATTATGCAATTCTTGTCTAAGTATTACCTCTGAAAGATTTACTTTTTGCTTTTACATGTACATGGTAATTTTTCATCTTATATTTGATGAAGGCAAAGAAAAACACCTTGAGAATGTCTTGCTCTAAGTACTCCTCTTTGCAGGCCTCTCCTGAGAAAGTTCTCTCTACTAGAGGTCAGGATTTCACACTGGAGGACGACTTTTTAAAATAAAAATCTTACATTAACCCAGCTGTTTCCCTGATGAGCTAGGTCTGCATACAGCGTGGTTTGCTGTCACATCTTATGCGGTTTTCTTTATGCCTCAGTATCATCGTGTTTGTCTTTATATCTGGGACGGGCTCACTTGACTTATTAAAAAGAAAACCAAGGTATCATTAGAAATCTGCTTTTATCAAGTATGCCAATGAAATCAAGCTTTAAAAACACATGTGACATGCTAAATGTTACCAATTGCTGACTACCTCTCACTGTAAACAGTTCCACAGTTTCTTCTGGATCCTTCCTATTAAATTCTCCATGGGTAGTGTTGATAAGATACATGGAGTTACGGTATATAGACTATTTATTGTGACACATGGCAACTAATCAGTGATTGACTTACAGATTTCCATTGAAGTATGTGTATGTGAAGTGTGAGATTTCATATTTAGTGCAAAACATGATGATGTTTCGTACCTCTTCGTAGAAGATATACAGGTGTTTGCAGTTCCCTGAGCTTGTAACTCTAATGGGAGTGTGGAGGGTGGGGCAAATGAGTCAAGGGAGACAAGGTGCATAAACTATAAGTCATAAAGTGGGTATGTAACGCACGTGATACCTACAGCCAGCAGCACTGTAGAGCACTCTGGGAAGTTGTCAAGAGACTGAATCCTAGAAAGTTTAACTTTGGTGACAGATGGTAACTATACTTATGTGGGGATCATTTCACTGTGTATACAGATGTGGAATTGTGTTATACAACTGAGACTAACATGATGTGTTAATTTTACCTCAGATCAAAATGAGTAGAACAAAGATAAATGGTGATCACCAGGCAGCACATTCCTGTATAAAGTAGCTGTGTGTCATATAATTTTAATCTAAGGTCGACAGTCAGTTTTCATAGGCCATCATGTACAGCCGTTTATGAATTTATTGGTGAAGACTTAGTAACACAGATAGCTTTTGCTTGTAGGTGATACTCTTTTCATATCACCAGACATACTAAGTTGGCATACCTTTCTCCCTCTCAGAGTCGTGCCACTCGGCTCCGTCCAAACCGTGAGTGGCTATGCCTTCACAGGCTTCATGTCACACACAGACCAGTACCCTTGTGCATACCTCAACGCTGCGTCAGCCATTGGGATGAAGACACAAGATGTGGACTTGTTCATCAAGAGGCTTGGCAAATGTTTAAAGACAGTCAAGAGAGAACAAAATAAAGAGAGCGGCGTGTCCAGAACTGATGATTATGACGAAACCAGAGGCGTAGATATGAATGAAATGGCTTTACAACTAGATAATGTGCTTCTTGATACTTAACAGGGTTCTTCTTGACAGGTGAAGGGTTTCTTCTTGAAAATTTGAAAGAAATGATGAGGCCGCAGTGTAAGAAAGTAGACACAACTTGAGATTTTCATGGACATTATTTGATCAAGGAATAGAATATGATCTGAGCTTACCTTTAATGATTATCCCATCTTCTACTTTTACACTGCCTCGATCCTTGTGGTCCATAATGGATATATGCAGTTAACATTTTTCTAATGGTTAAAGTATTTGTCAAGCATGATTCAGATAATTCTTGCTAAGATGATGACAGTAAAATTATTTCTGATTTTGCTTTGAAATGTGCAGACTGCTTCCTCCTAGCCCTTCTCTGCCATTTGCAAGTTACCTATGTTTCTGCTCGTGCAGAGTTTGGGAAGGTCTTTGATGCTGCTAGTCGCTAGGTGTTTGTTGATGCATGTAAGTCACGGTATATGTATGGGCGTTCACCAGGGGAGCAGGGTCAAGGTGTAAGCTCTAATTTTCATTCAACAGAAACAGTTCTCAACTGGGAATAATCTTATATTTGAGCAACATCTGGGAACATTGTTGTCACAAATGGTGGGTGCTGTCGACCTCCAGTACTTGAGGCTGGTGGTGCTGTTCATCGTCCTACAGTGGACACAACACCTTGCCCAAACAAAATCATCCGGCCCCAAATGCAGCAGTGCTGAGGTGGCATCATAGAGAGCTCTAAAGTAAGTGAACACAAGTAGACAAGTTCCCTATAGCAACTTTAGTTATTCAGTTGGACTTCAGAGAAGCTTCTTTTTAATGTTACTGAACTTTACACAATACAGACTTGTGATAACCAGGGTCACCAGTTCCGAACATGGAGTTATTAGTTTTCTATGGCGCTTGTGCCCGTGGAAACTGTTGCACTGTTTTTGCTCTCCACAGTCTCTGTGGATGGTAGTTTGTTCAGGTGCTTTGTACAACCATCATCAAAAGTGGCTCACATGAATATTTTTGACCATATTTTTGATATGGAGGTGAGAATGTTGTACTATGAAAACAGGCATATTCCCTGTCTCCCTGTGCATACGCCTACTTTCTGAGTGGAATTCCAGATACTTTGGTTACAAGAATGATTTTTGTTATTGAAATTAGCTGAGAAAGCTTGAGTTAGTAAAGCTTCTGAATGCACCAAAATGCCTAACCCATGTTTCTAAAGTCCCCTGCAGAATGTCCAGCCTAAGAGACCGGTTCCACGGTCAGACTTGGGACTTTACAGCTTGCCTACTGGTATTTAAAGGCTCTGAGGAGTTCTTTGAAACCAGTTCGGAGGTACCCTTAGCAAAAATAGAACCTGCTTTTAAAATTAGTAAATTACTTGTTGGCTTCCCGATGTACTTACTTTTGAAGACACCGCAATAGACAAATCGGTTTCTGGGCTGTTGGCTTGTGTTTCAGGAGCGTGAACTCGTTTACCGTGAGCTTGAGTACCATTGTCTGTGTACAGCGACATTTTTCAGACATTAGCTGACAAAATTTGGAGATCAAGATTGTGTGGGGATAAAGTTGTTAATTATAAATATACAAATTATTTGAAAATAGTATCTTTGGAGTTAAAATGTTTTAAACATCTGATTTTTGAAAACAGCTCTTCACTCATTCTAAAGGAGTCAGTCCTGGAATGAAAAGTTGTGTGATGTTTTTCTGTGAATCTGGGGTTCCATTGTAGAATGAACAAAGCAAAGGAACCCCTCAGCTTACCAGAGGAAATGAAGTGATGTTGCAAATGTAAACGCTGGCAGAGCAGCTTGCTCCACACATTGGCCAAAATTGCTTGATGGAACAAGTGATCTGTATTGTGTGATCATCATTTAGCTTTAAGAAAGGCCAGAGCAGAGAGACGAGCAAATGTTTTCTCATCTGCAGGGTATCAGCAGTTCTTTGGCTTCAGCTGCTGAATAGATAATAATTCTAATTGAAGATAAATTGCATGAATCCACATGTGACAGATAGATACGTTATACCATTTCATTCCTGGTACATCAAATCAGCTGCAGTTTTTATTCTTAGCTCTTTTGAGAGGTTTGGAATTCCAGCTCTCTTCCTGCTGGTTTAAATTTGACCTTGAGGTCATGGAACTCGCAAGAGATTTTGGAGGAACGCTGCAGTTCTGCAGAGTCAGGATTTTCTCGGTGCTCACCCCAGCACTGTTCTCGCTTGCTCTCTCTTATCTCCACATGTAGGTTTAAAAACAAAACAAAAAAGAAACCAAAACTATGTACAGGCATTTACTAAAATTGTTAGTTCTGATTGGAAAACCCCACACGCAGCCCGAGTTATCTGTGAACTGAGGTACATTTTCCCATCGTTGACTAAGGTGGGCTCTGGGATCTTCATGACCCAGCTGCCCTCATGAGGCGATAAGGTAGGATTTGGGAGTTTTGTTTTAAGAGTCATTGGGCTGTGATGGTCTTCCCAGAAAAGAAAACCAAATAAGCCAGAATATTCCTTAGGTGACTTCACAGTGTGTCACATGCACAGTAGCGAAAGGCATTTTAAATCTAGCTCTCAGCTTGGCGCTTTGTCCACTGATGAATTCTCACTCTGTCAGGGAATGATATGTGACCCCAGCCTTCGGAAGCGGGTGTCCCGCTATAAATCTCTCAGTTAGCTTTTTGTATTAGTTGAAAGAAGTTACAGAATATGAATTATTGAATACAGTTCTGTTCAGGCAATAGGTACTTGATATATACAGAATGGTAAATTTAAATATAAATTAAATTTTTCCACTAATATTTTGCCCCAGCACATCGCTGCTGTTTCTTTAGCCAGCTCATAATACCAGCTGTCACCGGGACAACCTACAGGATGAGCCTGTGATTTTAAACCACCGAGGGTAGGTTTTAGTGAAATCTAAAGGAACGTTTTTGAAACAGTATTGTTTCTTTAACACTGAGTTAGCCGCTCATTATGGTAGCTACATCCCTGTGTCCTTTCTGCAAGGGAAAGGCCGACAGCCACATAGCCGAGGGGGCTCGTCCGCATTACACGCAGAGACGTTATTCTGAACACAGACACTTGGTGCGTGGAAAAGCTGGCCTTGCTTTTCTCACTCCCCAAGATGTGCTAACTTCCAGCAAGCCCCTAAATGGTTTTGCTGTGTTCTGCTCACAGAAGCCGACCTTATGTTGTGACTGAAAGCCATCTCGTTTGTACAACAGACGTTTGTGCTCTCTCATCTGTCACCCTGTGGTTTCTCTGTGTGGCCAGCTTTACCAGACTTGCCTCTGCCGCCTTGTGTGTCTGCCCTTTTACTTCCACACCCCCTTTGGCTGTTAGACCTGTGGAAGTGTGTGGCGGAGAAGCCAAGGCTAATGTGTGTGTCTTTATAATCGCCCACCTGTTCCCTACCGGTTCACAGCTCAATTCTAGAATGGAAGCAAGTAAGCTCGCCAAGAAAATTGGTATCCAAAAGTATTTTTGGTATATATTTTAAAAAATAAGATGAACTGTGTCATCGATTATATGAAATAAGTTTTGATAAATCAGTTTATTATACTATTTTACCTAATCATTACCAAGTATGGGTAACACTTAAAATTACTTGTCATTTTGTGATTATTGACATCAGCTTGCCAGAAAACAGCAAGAAAAGTCATAATATGAGTCATGAGAGTGGGAGCTAGATTATTTTATTTTTAAAGATTTATTTATTTATGCAAACAGAACTGGGATACAGGCCAGAGGTGTAGAGGGTGAGAAGATTCACCAGAGACAGAGTGGGGAGCAGAATGGGCAGATGGACAAAGTACACTGCTGAGGGGAGCAGCGGGCAGGTCAGGAGAGGTCTGCTGTGCCATGAGGTGACAGGGATCTAGATTATTTTTAAAAAGAGTAACAAATCCTAATGTTACCTCAATTAAAGAATAAATTTAATAAAACAAATTTGCTGTAATCACCATGTTGAAACTAAAAAGTCAATTGAATTAACCAATGAAAGAACTAGAACTAGAAAGGAAGTGGCGTTCCAGCAACCATTTTGCAGAAGAATCTGCTGAGTATAGCTGTTTGTAGAAGTGTTGAAATCTTTTCTGAAAGGAACATTGTATTGGAAAGAAGTAGCACGTCCTGTTTGAATCTCGTCAGTGATGCTCCTTTGACTTGGAGTTGGAGCCCTGCGCTGGAGCTGGTGACCAGTGTGACCACCCGTGTAACCTGTCTGCCTTGACATGCACAAGGGGCGCAGCCTGAGAGAAGCGAGGACTCAGTGAGATGTATGGAAAGTGATGGACTTTTCTTGCAAGTCATCCATGCATTTTGTCCCTTCTATGGTGGAAATTAAAAAGTTCATAATTATCTTGCATTTACATTTCAGAAAAAAATCATCTAAAGTGCACTAGCTATTTTACACATCTGAAAGTTTAGATCACGGCCCAGAAGAAATGTATGGAAGTTTGAGTCTAGTGACGTTCCTGTTGCTGCTGTCCCTCCCACCGCTGCTGTCTGGCCCTCTCGTCCATCACACTGTTTTCATGGTCTCTCTCACGTGGCCGACCACATTAGCCAAAGTTTTTGGTGCAAGAAAAGCAGTAGCTCCTTCTATTTACCCTATTCTTAGATGCCTTTTAGTATGGTAGCTGATCCCGGTTCCCACATTCACATCCTTAGCAGACCTCCTTCCTGAATGCCACGTTTGGAATTGCATTATCATCTCTAGAATGTCTAATGTCTCAAGTTTCACACACCAAAGGTGATTGATTCCTTGACCTGCCTTCAAAAGCCCTATTCTACCCATAGCTTTCTTCACTTCAGCTGTCACACGTCTATTAAAAAAAAAAAGATTTATTTATGCATACATAACTGGGGTACAGGCCAGAAGTGCAGGGGTGGTGAGAGGGTTCATCAGAGACAGAGTGGGGAGCAGAACAGACAGATCTGTACAGTGTTGAGCAGCGAGTGGGACAGGAGAGGTCTGCTGTGCCATGTGGTCACTTTGGGGCTGGGGATCAAACTCACACCGAAGCGGCTGCAGCTAGCTTGCAGTGCTGAGCTTTAACCTGTTGCAACACTAGGGAGCACCGCCCTGCCCCGCCCCACCCCCCCAACGTCTGTTCTTTTAATTGCTTAGGCCCAAAACCTGTGTGTTCTTGAATGTTATATCCCCTAACCCCTCACAAAATCATGTTGGATCTACTTTAAAATCACTTGTCACCTCTTCCTCTGCTACCAACCAGGTCTAACTACCCGTGTCCAGATCCTAGTTGAGCGTACTCCCTGAAGGGTGAATGAAGCGAGTCAGGCTTTTTCCCACTCTCCTGCCACTAGCCTCTGGCCAGCACCTGCGAACCTGTGCTCCAATGCACAGGCCAGGAGGTGGGTGTGGGGCACGTGCACCCGTGATGTGAACACCTCTGGTGAGAGGGATAAAAGGGCAGCTTCACTCTGAGGCGAGACTATGAGACTGACAGGAGAATGGGGGTTGGAGGGGCAGGGGAGAGAGAGAGAACCTGCTTCCCCGGTTGGCCTGTAAAATCCCACCGACTGCTGAGGACTCTGCCACATCGAAAGTGAGTCTGTGCGCCCTGTGCATGCTGCCACTGCACCCCCTTAAGCCCTTCCCACCAAAGTGCTTTAGTCTAATGCCCCTTGGCGGCCCATTATCAGTACAACAGCCACTGTAATCCTCTTAACACATGCAGGATTCACTGGCCTGCTCAGACTGGTTCAGTGCCTCCCTCCCGCCCCCATCTCTGCCTATAACCACATCTTGCTTAGCTGCCCTTCGCCTCTGGCCATCCGACCCTTCCCCTCTATCTTCTGACTCTTCTTTCTACGCTTCACCCTTGCTGCCTCCTGTTCCCGCCCAGCTGGTCAATCTGCTGTTCCTCAGATGCGTGGACACCTGCCTTAGAGTCTTGGGCCTGGCCCTCCCCTCTGCCTAGGAACCTCAGCCCACATGCAGGTTCATGTCCTCCCACGCCCCTCCTACCCCCCACCATCTATGTTTTTATCAAAGATTCCCTCCGTGATGCAGTCTACCTGGACTACGCTTTCAGTACTGTATCGCTCGCCTCCATTTTAGCGTTAGTGAAACTCGAGAGTGTAAGAATCACCTGGTTCTTGTTAAAATGCAGATCTGAATTCAGTAGGTCCGGGAGGAGGCCAGCGTTGGTAGCAGAGCCTGAGGTGCCATGATGCTGTTGGCCCAGGGACCGCACTGAGGACAAAGGTTCAGCATCCTGTGCAGTTCACGCTCCGGTGTGTGATGTTTGTCTCCCTCCTGCCAGCCCGTGGCTGCACCAGAGCGGGGCCTTTGTTTTGTCCACTCATGTACCTGAAGCACCTAAACAGCACCCAGTACCTGATAGACACTCAAATATTTGTCGTATGAATGATTCAGTAGGCATCATAAAATATTCATGTAACTATGAAATGCCGTCATGTCTGATGGAGACTGTTGAGTGGTTTCCCCTTGCTTTGGGAACAGAGCTCCAAAATCCCATCTTGATGTGGCAGGTGCAAAGAGGGAGCACTTATTTTAGTCTGGCATCTTTTTTTTGATGTTTCATAAGTTTAAAAGCTAATTGCTCTTCTTAAATAAGGGGCGAGACTTAATGGTCAAACACACCTTTGACGAGTGGCCCACAGACGGAGCCAATGATTGAGCCAAGGGGCACTTCTTTCCAGGCACTGTGCTGACTGAGGAATTGAAAGGGCAGGCTCTCCCCACCCTGCTTCCCCGGCCCTCACTGTGCTGCCAGTTAGGGCTGAGTGACCTTGCAGAGGTTACCGTTGATCTACCTAGAAAGTGAGGATAATATCTGATCTGAAAGTGTTCAGATAAAGATCAAAACAATTAATGTGCGTACCTAGCCAGGGACCTGATACATGGCAGACAC